CTAATCATCTCTCCAGTCCCCTAATCATCTTTGTTGCTCTTCTCTGCACTCTTTCTAGAGTCTCCACATCTTTTCTACATCGTGGCGACCAAAACTGGATGCAGTATTCCAAGTGTGGCCTTACCAAGGCCTTATAAAATGGTATTAATCCTTCACATGATCTTGATTCTATCCCTCTGTTTATGCAGCCTAGAATTGTGTTGGCTTCTTTGGCAGCTGCTGCACACAGCTGGCTCATATTTGAGGGATTGTCCACTAGAAAGAAAGATTGTTTCCCCTTGGTCCAAAGCATCCTTTCCTACCTTTCAACCTTCCCTCTCTGTTCCCCCATTCTGATTTGATGATGTTATAATTGCTGCTGCTTTCCTCAAAAGGGTTATTCCTTGTAAGCCCATGATCCGTGAGCTTAAAACTCTGGACCTTTTTGCTTCCACATTAAAAAAACAACAACTCTTATGTAGGAAAAGAGCAGAGCCTGTGGGGGGAGTCAAGAGAGGAATCAGCCTAGAGCAGGGCTGTCAAACTCCCAACCCCCTGGGCTGGATGTGTCATACACTGGCCATGCCCTCTGGTTACCGAAGGGAGGAAAAGTACGACGTGAGTTTGACACCCCTAGCCTAGAGCCTTTACATTTCCCACTCATAGTCGATGTCACGAGTGTCAAACCACCACATCACATTGCCGTCATGTGACGTTTCGCGACGGTTTTCCCATTCATGGAGCTGGGATGGGAATGGCCTCTGTGGGGACGCATCCGGGCCTGTGGGCTGCTTGTTTAACACCCCTAGTCTATGCCCAACCTCTCTTGAATTGTTGACTCTTATCTAATGCCAATTTAGTGGTGACCCATTAGTTGACTAGATTCTGGTGTATAAGCATGAGCAATACATTATCCTAACTGGCACTTAAATGTGTAGTCATGATTCTTCCTGATTGGTAATCTAAGAGCACTGGATTTTGCCCAATTAAAGTCAGAAACAGCTGCGATACTAAGAACAGCAAGAAGGAAGTGAGGAAGGTGACTCAAGCGGCATACGTTAGAAACCCATCCCTGCCCTATCTCAAAAAACCTGAAACTTCCTTCTTCACCTGAATTTCTATCTCCTTATTCTCAAGCTATCGCCCCCGGTCTATCATAAACTTTTAGCAAATAACAGGATCGGTATGCTTTAGCAAAGCAAGTTGCCACGACATCGGTTCATACAACTTTAATGAGCTTCAAAGCCAAGCAAACATCTGGATACAAGCTTCCCCTTATCCAAGTACAGCCATT